AATTCGAGTGTCTGTGCATGCATGTGAATAATAGATTAACAGTCATTTCATTACAAATACATTTCATTCTTTTTTTTTTAAATAAAATAGCACAATGATGTTCCATCATTATGAGAGAACTTATCTATTTTCTTATCTGCCACGAAAATTCTGCGCTTGCATAAAAAAGGATCACATCATCATTAATTATTTTCAAGGCTGTTTTTTTTCTTCACACTTGAAAAAAAAGATTTGTTCTCGCTATCTTTTTGTCTCTCTCTTTGTCTTTCTGTCTGTCTCTCTCTTTCTCTTTTTGCTTGTGCAGTATAAAACACAACGAAATATCTGTTTTTCTTTCGTACTCATAAAGAACTATTATAGTGAAATATTCATATTACTACTTTCAATTTTTTTGTGAAGCATGGCGATCATAGTTGGTAATTCAAAAACACAATATGCAATGAATATCCAAGGTGATGATACAGATATTAAAATAAATATTGGTGATACAGCTATAAAAGCGTCAACTGATACTGCTGCACAGGAAGTAATCAATAAGGTTGGCAAAACTGCTGGTAAAATCATCGAAAGTGGGGGCGATGTCATTACTGCCCCAGCACTTTGGCTGAAAGATATGCAAAAAAATTGGCTTACGTACATGATCCTTGCAACAATTATTTTCGTATCCATTGTATTCTTGTATTGTACGGTTAGCTATTATATTAGTCGGAAGAAAAATCACTGGGCATCAACCAACCTTGTCGAGCTTGCTAAAGTTATTAGCAACAAAGGTGCTGCTTTACAACCATCACTAGCATTATCAGCGTCAAATGTAACATCGGTTGCAGCAAACTCAATGACAGTTGGCAGTTTAAAATGGAAAATCGAAATGTTAATAAACACTGCTTCACATTTTTGTAGAATCGTAGGTCTAGCATTTTAATCTACATCTCGAGATAGTTTTTGCGCATTTCATTATTTTAATAATCATTGAATTTAGCTCTATTTTTTATTCATGTCGTTATTCAATTGCATTTTAATATTAATTTTTTCAATCTTTTTAATAAATGCATGCTAATTAAAAGTGAATTTTATACTTTCACATCTGCGTTGGAAAATATTGTGGTTATTGCCCACTTCCGCTTCTAACTCGTATTTGTCCTCAATTCTCGGCTTCTTTTCTACTAAATGTATCATCACCAAACTTGATCGATACGATGACGATACATATGAATTTCGTAGAATATGAGTTATTAGAACACTACAAAATAATTTCTAGGAAAGGAAGATATTGTCATAGTCTTTATGGGACTGAAAACTACTAAACCAATATTCAAAAGGCATTTAATCTTTCTCAGTTTATATAAAAATAGTATTAAAACGCCTTTTTATTATTGTATAGAACAAATACCTACTTTCAAGACTATTTTCATTGTCCTGAAATCGATGTTCATTATGATACTGTTCTTATTTCGAATTTACCTTGAAAAATCGACGGTTATAGATGAAACAACTAAGTGTTCCGCTAGAGTAGCTCGAACTTTTTTTTCTTTCGTAATAACGTTAGATCTTTGGAATACGAAGACTTTTTTCGTCAGAGAATTAACTCTGTTTTTCAAGTGCAACAAATTGCAACGACATCAACATCAATATCAATATTTCTATCGGAAGTTTCTTGTATAGATAGACTTTCGCTGAAGGATATCTTTCATAATCATCATTCAATTGTGACATTAGACTGAAATTATCTTATTTGACTCGTTTCATGAAAAGTGAAAATATATAAAAAATGCACAACTTAATTTGTTCTATCAATTGATAGTAAATTATATGTAAGTCAATCGGAAAAAATTTTTTGAATACATGAGAAACGTCAGATCGTCTTAGTGTTCCTATCAAAATAATTCACTTACATGAAAATTTAATATACAACTAAATATAATTCTAAGACGCTCTTTCTTTTATTTTCATCGAAACTATACCGAAGCACTTATTCATGAAATAAAAGAATTTTATACTTTTCTTAAGTACTCCTGCTTCATAACAACTCACTTTCGTTTTATCATTTTCCTTTATATTGTCCGACTGAAATATCATAACAAGCTAACTATTCCTATGTGCTTTGTTGTCTGCAAAAGATTTGAAAGATATTAAAGCTGCTTATTTTTTTTCTTGAAAATCACACTCGAAAAGCTTATGAATGAAACATTATCTTTTAATAAAAAATGTGAACAAAAAAAAGACCATTTTGTTGAACGATTGCACAAAATTCTTTCATTCTTAATAAATCATTTATGCATGACAGCTTTGTCTCGCACTCTACACGGCATTAGCGTTCTATATTTATTCAAATTTGTTTTAATGTTCTTCCATTAATACGGACAAATTCAAGTTTTTTAATCTATAATTAATCAATATATTTCATCTTTTTTGTCCAAAGTTACTTGAGATATTTGAACCTTAAGAAACTACTGCAATACAATTATCTATCCTCTGAAAATACTATCTCATAGATTCAATATTCTTCGTATCTATATTTTAGCTTGGTTATTCTTTTCTCAAATGCAACAAATCTTTTTTCGCCTTTTCTATTCAAATTGTTCGATATTAATTTAGTTTTTCGTTTTTCAAATTGTTCTTACAAACAAAAGCGATATTATTTTTATATCCATATTTTTTACTATCCATTTACATCATAGAACTCAAATACGAATCTTTTCTTTTCTCCAGGAAAATGATTACTTATTCGATACTATTAACCACGTCTGTGTCTTCTGTTTTTTAATTTAAAGGGTCAATCTCTTGTTCAACCGAAAAATTTCGCATCTACAGTTTTTTCTTTTGATTATCAATTTTAATAACTTCTCATACTCTAACAATTCAGTGTTTCGTCTTTTTTTTCGCTCAATGACGTCATATTTTCCACTTACTGTAGGATCAAATTTTGAAGCATCTGCAAAGGTGCACATCTGTTGATGTGTATGCTCAAGAATGAACGATATCTCGATGTAATCCTTGATTTATAACACTTGCAACGATTTGATGTGTTATAGCGTTTTCCCGGAAATCCATTTTTGGCACACCTATACGAGAGAATTTTCCGGTTACCAACATGGAAATTACGTTCATTACGGACTTTTTTTGACGTTTCTGTAATGGACGTATTGGCCGTATAGGACGTATAGGACGTATTGACCGTATAGGACGTATTGGACGTATAGGACGTATTGGACGTATAGGACG